TGATTGTACAAGGCAGAGGGAAGGAAGAAGAACCATATGCCCTCCAAGCAACATGCTAAAATGCAGGGAAGTTGGATGGGAAGATTGGCATTCCAAAGCAATGCAGCAAGAACACCAAAATGTGATAACTGTGTCTTAGAGAGTGCAAGACACACACTCTGGCATATCAGGAAAGAGAAGTCTGGTGCTGAGATTCCTTCTACGAACTTGTTCCAGTTTTCTCACCACACCGTGAACTTCTGAGACAGGGCAGGCCTCAATCATCATCCAAACCACAGCTCCTTGCTGGGACCGACACACAGGAAGTATTTGACAATTTGTAGAAGTAAAAGACAAGGATGGAGGAGGGCAGTGAGAGAGGGAAAGAGGGAGGGAAGAAAGGAGGACAAGGGCAATTTTCATTGTCAGAGCCGGGCAGTGTAATGTCTATCTGACTGCATTGTTCATGCTGCCTACTGTCTGTGACTATTCACCAAGAGTCTCACCTTTTTCCCCCGTTGATTGAATTTAAGCTGCAAATTGAGCCATTTCTTCCTTCACTGTTGGTGGCTGTCACAAGGTATTCCCTCTAGAATCAGCCCCAATGGTAAGCAAGCAGATGTGGGAACCCAGAAAACTAGGTATCCTACTTTTAATGTCATCAAGCAGCCTTGAGCTAAATGACAGGTTAACACAAAGTACAGCTGGGGGACAGGATGAATGCCGAGGTTCATCCTGGGGACTCCCCTCTCTTCCTTGTCCTGAATGGTGAAATTACCTGTTTCAGTTTCCTCTAAGAGCTGCTGGGGGCTTGATGTATATGTGGAGGCTGTGAGTTGATGATACCAGACAGGAGCTGACAACAGTTCTCTCAGTAAAGGATCACAGGCAGCACTGACTGGTTTGACAGAGGAGGAATGAATGATGTTGGAGAAAAAATCCCAACTGGTCCAGACCAACGTGGCACCTGCGGAGACAGAGGGCAGCTCTCCGTGATGCCTTCTTCCGCCTCTTGGTAGAGGATGGAGCAGCACACTGCCTTAACAAATGAGATGTGGAAAAATGTTTCTGTGATTTGTGATTACCTAAACTCTACATCTTTCCACTTTTAGGAGGTTTTCATTCCTTTCAACATTCCACATACACACCACCTGGACTCCAAACAGAAGCAGAGAGATTTTAGCAGGAGGGGGTGGGCAGCACCAAACCTTTAGCCTCATCTGTTTCTTTTGTTGTTGTTGTTTTTAAAATAAAGCTGCAATTGGCCCAGTGCGATCTGTTAAGTGTCTTATTATAAACTCGAACATCAATGGCGGTTAGAAAAAAAAGCTGAAATTTGCAACCAAAAACAAAACACAGAAAAACGAAAAAGAAAGAAAGGAAGGAAGGAAGGAAAGGTCTGAATGAGTGGCAGTTCCCATTTCTTTACAAGTGTTACATTTCAGTCCCCCTGCCACTACCACATGTTTCCTGTTCACAGATAATTTGTACAACATATTTTATCATTCAGTTTTAGACACAGTTGAAAGGCTTTTGCCTAAGGCTTGGAACACTTTGAAAATTGTATACCATTTGCAGGGCTTTCTTCTGCTTCGCTGTGCAATTAGGTGACTGTCTTTCTGCAGACGTCGAATTTATCATTTATGGGATTGTGGATGTGTGCCCGTCTGTGTGTGCGCGCGGCTGTGTTGAAAGCCAAGGTGAACTAGAAAATGGATGGGAGGAGCTTCCAATAAGAGACGGGTGAGGGACTAAGAAGTAAACCAGTGCTCTCAGCTCTCTGAAGGGTTGGGGTTTCAAACAGCAAGTGCGTTTTCACCCTTCAAGAAGTTGGGTTCTGGGACCCCTTAGTTCGGAGTGTTGTTTACATATTGATTCAGCTTCACATTTTTGACTACTAGTTAAACCACAGTGTAATGATCTAAAGACACCCAGACTCATTAATCTCTGTGAACGCGATTCCAGGACTCTGTTCCCTCTGCCCTGCCATCTTCTCTGCCCTGCCTTACTGGATTGCACAGCTTGTCTGTACAGCACTGATGTGCTCTGAGCCTCCCCTGGTGGAAGTTCTTGGCAAAGGTTGGCCGTCAGGAATAAGCAAGGAGGCCGGACCCAGGTTCTGACTGAATTTCCAATGTGTCGCGGTATCTTACATAACCTGAATTTTAAAGTCAGATTTGATAAAAGATAACTTATTCTCACCATTATGCCACTTTGTGCTTTTCCACTGAATAATGCAGTCACAGGGAGAGAGGAGGGACCCTTATTCATCTCTCCCAGGAAGAGCCCGGCTCTCCTCTGAGGAAGTTCAGCAACTTTCATTATGCAGAGGGATGGCTCTTCTCCTAGCTTCAGAAAACACAACAATAAAATGACTTGGAGAAGTCTGAATAGCGCTGAGTCTTTGGACGCAAGAGGACCTTTAGGTCTGCCTCTGCCCTCTAAAGCATTTTCTTCTTTTCCTATTCAAACTTCCCGTGTTCATTTCACAAAGACCCTGTGTCTGGGATATTTGTCAGTCTATAAATCCCCAAATGTATCTGTGTAAACGTTTTAACTCATGAAGCCTTCCAAGGCAGCTTTTGGGGAGTGGAGACATGGGGGAGGTATAGAGCTAAAAATAGTCGATTAATAACTGCAAGCACTTTGATTGTGATGAGTAGGGTGACAGGTTTGTAATCCTTGCCAACGGTGGGAAGGAAACAACAGAATGTGGAGTCTGTTTAGAAAATCTATACAAGCCTTATAACAAACCTTGACTTTAAACCAAGGCGAAGGCAAGAGGCACAGGTAAGCTTGACCTGGTACTGTTTTTTCAGGAGACTGTGCACAAAAGAACAGGAACTCTTTGAAACAAATAATTATTAAACTTAAATCATCTTATAGTTCATGTCACCTCGAATACTAAGCAGGCTATAAGCACCAGAAAACATTCTGATATAATCTGTTAAAATAATTGCCAGGCTAATATCCTTTCTATGGTTATATATTTATTAGAGAAAGATATTTTTTTAAAAAACCACAATTACATTGAAAGACAAAGTCTACCTAACACCCTGTCTGTTCGGATATAAGAGCTGGACCCCAGAGAGCTCAGAGGTCCCCAGCCCAACACAAGCAAGCATGACTCCCTTGCTTCTTTGACAAAACATTAAGGATAATGTAAAATAAAGCCACTTAGAGATGCTATCCTCTGCAAATAATAGGAAAGGACAGTCAACGCTGTGCAGACATTTGCTAGATTTATACACATGCACAGCGCCAAGACCAAGGGTTTGGGTCAGTCGCAATATCATTATGATAGTAATTTATGGAAGACCAGCAGCAGGCGGAAGCTGCCAAGACACCCACGCAAAGCCCATCCTGAGTAAAGCAGAAAGTACTTTCCTTTTGAACTCCATCCAAGACACTATGCAATGACACCGACTTCTGAACCTACGAAATCCAGGCACTTTAAGCAATCGTTTGTAAAAAGCCTGCCATCCCCAGGGACCTGCCAGGTGAGCGATGGCTCAGCACAGCTGCTTCTCAGTGGGGCTCACTCACAGGTCCCTTCCATCTTTGGGAAGACAGGGACATGATTCTGAGCATCCACACGAACATCTTTTGCTGTCCTCATCAACTCTGCTCTCAGGGCCTGCAGACCAACATTTCTGCAGGCAGAGGGGCCATGTGATAGGCGGGTACAACATTCTTTACTAGCTTTGTGGTATGGGAAGTTTGGAGAGGGGGCAAGGGGCTTGCTTTTGACACTGTTGCTTCCTTAAGATGTGGCCCAAATGGAGCACATTTTGAGATGTGAGAGAACCATTCTATCACCCTATGGATATAGAATCTGATGGATTCTTAACCCTGGCAGTTCAAAAACACCCTCGATCCAAGAAGTAGAGTTCACAGGTGTCCATACAATGAGGCCTGGCCTACCCAGGCATGCGAGCAGCTGAATTCACATGCAGGAATTGTTCCAGAAATTGAACCACTGTGGATCACTTTGAAAAGAATATGACTTTCAGGATTCTGAGTGGAACCTATTCTTGCCATTGACTTTTTATATGACCTTGGGCAAATCATTTAACCTGCCAGGGCCTCTGCAACAAACACAGTATGATTCTTGGTCTAAGATGCAATTTCAGAAAAGAAACTCTATCTTAATTTTGCTTCCTTTTCCACAGCTCAATCTCGTCATTGGGATGCCGTGAGCTGCTCTGCAGGGCTTTGGGATTGACCTGCCTGCCAGTGGTATCAGGAGACCTCATTCTCCTGGTAGGCAGATGAACGGCATGCATGCAGTGAGCTGAAAGGGGGTTGTCCTGGAACTGGGGCAGACCCAGCTACCAGCCAGTTCACCTGTGCAATGTGCAGGCTTGAGCTCCTCAGTGCGCTGGACTCTGGCTCTCCCTGGATCACCAGGTAGATGTGCTGGTGAACTGGAAGTCTTAGCATCTGCTTCTAACATAGCTCTGTGCAATGCAGTCAGAAGCTGAAACCAGTACATTTATACCTCCCATGAACCAGGAGGCAGCAAAGAAGACTGGTTAAAAGCTCTGCTTTCTTGGAGAAACACTCTGGGTTGAAGATATACCATGTTCAATGTCCTATCCAGCCTCTATTCTCTCTTCAGTATCATGGGAAAATGACAGCTTCAACCCTGTAAGTGCTGAGAAATAAAACACACATCACAAAGATTGGTACATCTGTGGCACTCAGTATGTATTGGCTATTATAGTTTTATGTATTTCAACCCTCCTGCCTCCACATTCCACTAGGACTCCTGTCTCACCACTGTAGGGACGCTGAGGCCAGGATGTTCCATCCTACCCTGCAGAGCTATGAAATGCAGCCAGGTTTCCTAGAGCGGAGCAAGAACTCAGATATTCTGGTTCTGCATGGTGCTCTTTGTTGTTCTTTCCCCAAGCTACATCATGTTTGGTGTTGGTGCAAGCTGTTCAGTATATTCTCCGTGCCTCTGCCTATCCCTGTTGTCTTTGTGGCCTTAAAACATGACTATTCAGGAGCTGGGAGTTTCATTTTATTTTTGCATATCATGTCTGGTTAGCTGTTTGCTTATCTATTTGGCCTTATCTGTCTTTCTTGAATTTGATGGAATAATCTCTTCTCAGATTAGAAATCTGGCACTGCACCTGGTGAGGGGGGAAAGACAAAATAATGGGTACGGAAAGTTATATTAGTCTGCTTTCTGTTGCTATAACAATATCATAGACTGGATGATTTAAGCTGATGGAAAAGTATTTAGCTTACAGTTTTAGAGTCAAATAATCTACAGTTGTAGGGCCACAGCTGGTGAGGACCCTAATGGTAGGAGTATGAGAGAGCCCACGTGAGTAGGGATGGGAGCTGATTTCATTTTAATCACCACCCAGGTGACTCTGGCATGCATCTCTTTCTAAAAGCATGAGCTTGGGACATGATGACTTCTAAAAGGCCACCTTCTTAATCCTATTACAATGGCTATTAAATTTCCTTATGAGTTTGGGAGGAGACATTCTAGTAGCAGCAAGAATGAAACCCACTGACCTGGGATCAGGGACTAGTGAGTAGCAAAAGTTGAATTTAAAACTGTGCCTTCTCTTAAGGAAACCAGATTGCCAATGCTGGAGTCAGTGGAAGACAGGCAACAGTGCCTTCTTCTGTAAGAATACACTAAGGAATGGCAGGGTGAAACTAAAAAAAAAAAAAAAGAAAGAAAGAAAGGCTCTCAATACTACCAGGTCTTACAAGGATGTCCTATGTGCTGAGTCTTAAATGGTGTAGGAAAGGGATGAAGGACAATTATGGATGGAAGGGTGACCCAGCAAGGGGGCATTCTGCAAAAGTTTATGGAGACTCAAAATGCTGAGGTGTTAGAAATACTACTGCACACAGATAATATTGCCAGTATTGTACCATGCTGGATGGGGAGACTGCCCATAGGTAGTATCGCTAGTGTGCACATACACTATGAGTGGTTTGCAGGAGAACTGTCCACAACTGATTCCTACAGGTATTGCTGGGTCAGGTTTATCAGACATTGGTGTACGTCATAATCACCTATAGGATTCCTTAAAACATGTCGTGGTTCACACCCTCAGTGCATCTGATTCAATCAGTCTGGACTAAACCCAAGAGCTTGCGTTTCTATGTGATTCTGGTCCTGCTGGCCCTGGCATCCTCCCAAGAGCCACTGGCCTCAGGCATCATTGGAGGAGATAAGGAGGAAATCAGGCCATCAGGGAGATCTTTGGAGTGACCTCCATGTGGAGATAGACAGAGGTATGCTGTGCATTCTCTTAGCCTGTGTGCTGTTTGGAATCAGAGGCCTCAGACTTCCTTCTCCCATTCGAGGGCAAGAATGGAAATTCTGTCAGGAGTTTTGCTCCCAGGGAAAGCCTTGGCAGAACTTCCTGGGGCACCATAAGGATTCTTAGTGAACCTTCTTGTTCTTAGGGGTCCAGAGAGCAAAGACTCTTGCTCGTGAATCTTAATACGGAGTCTCTGAGCTGACACACACCTGTCTCAGCTGGTAGCTGAGCAAGGGAGGAAGTCACCTGAGCTGGTGCAGCAGATTAGAGAACTGGAACTATGTGGGGTTACAGCACACCCTTCCCAGACACAGGCAGACCTGCTCAAGCACTTGGTGATCTGCACTCAAAGACTTTCGAAATGTTTAAAAATCCTCCTAAGAGCATTCTGCAGAAATTGAGTCTCATAGATCTTATTATTTTCCACTTCAGCCACCTCTTTAAAGAGATTCACATATGTTCCCTACACATTCTGCATTAATAACTGGTCTAATAATACTCAATTTGTGTGCATGTCATTTTTGGAAAGCACTCTGTACATTAAGTACTTGTTTACATTGAATTCTGCTGTTTTACTCCCTAAATCTAACTTTTCCAAGCTAACAGAAAATTTAAAGATCTATGAATATTAACAGTTCTTTTCAACGCAATCTTAATCTAAAACCACCACCTTTTCAATTTTCACTGACCTTGTGACAAAAGTAGTCCAACCTTTCATATGAGTTTCTCTTTTATTATTGTTCTTGGACTTTTAAAACTGATTAACATTGACTTTTTCCTATGGGAAATGAAGTAACTTATAATGCAAAGCAAAAGGGAAAAACAAAGTGTGAAAATGGAAACAAAGTATCCAATACTTTAATAAAACTAGACATCGGTGGCCCTTATGTTTCTTTGAGTGTTTCCCAAAAGTTCTAAGTTCACTGGAGGTCACGTCTAAAGATTGCATTTTGTAGATCTACACCCTCTGTATCTTTACATTTAGACTTAATGCACTGAATGTATTTTAGGATGAAGGTAAATTCAAACTCGTTTCCTTGTACGTTTTCTTCCTATAATCATTGTTAAGTGTGATCTTGCACTGAGTACCCACTTACCTTTTGGTTGAGAGCTCCACATTAGTTGAATAATCATAAAGAGATATTTCCTGGGAATATTCTTGAAGCATCTTAGAAAGAGATGGAATGATTCAAAAGCTTAAGCATTTTCCTTGCTCATGAATTTCAGTCTCTTGTCTTACATTTTTCAATGTCATGTTTTGTTCTTGAAATTTCCCCATTATCTAGGGAAGGATTGATGCAATTCCAGGAAATAAGGAGATAATTGAGAAATTAGAAGACAGTGGGTGCGATTTTATGGGAAGGAAAACAGTAAGTGTCAGAACTACCAAAGGGAGGAGGGGGTAAAGGGAGGGCAGGGTTATGGGGAAAAAAATGAGAACCAAGACCTGTCATGTAAAAGTACAAGATCCCAGCGATGAGTGTAACTATACTGTATACCTAAAAAAGTACCAATAAACTCAATAGGAAAAAAAAAGAACTACCTTCAAACCCCAAATCACACATTGATCACTTGTGTAGATGGCAGGTTTTCTGACTCTCAGCCACAGTGCTCACACCTCCTAAATGGAAATCACATGAAAATGAACCCCACTAGGTTAGCATGTTGCTAAATGAAATTAGAGAAGAGCTTTTAAAAAGTAAAGCAAATTAAAAATGTCACAGGTCACTTGCCCATGGGGTTGAAAAACCCAGTGGTTTCAGAAATGCAGCACAGAAATGGACCAATAACTATTGTTTTTGTTATTGGATCACGGAGGAAATTCTAAGCATGAATTCCCATTTTGCTTTAGTCTTTTTCCTACTGCTAAATGGAGATCATCCCATCTCTGTGTGTCAAATGCAGCATATGTGAAAATACCTCCTGATCATCTTTCACAGGAATTCTTTCCAAGTGAGAAAGCAAGTAATGGGGTCATGGGCTTTCTAGAGTAATACAACCCAGGTTTCTAGTGTGATTTTGATTAGCAAATTCTGTCCCTGATTTTACTATGTGAGGAAGTGCCGGGCCATGATTTCATGCATTTTTGAAGGTAAAAGAAGAGAGCTTACCCGTATTTTATAGCTGTTCATAGGAGTAGATCCTGGAATTCATGAGGAGTCATTTTTAGAGAGCCTGCAGTCCATGGTGGGCATTAATCATAAGACATAGGACAGAAGTCATTAATTAACAGATAATAGAGCATACATTTCCATTGCAGTGTATCACGCTCATCACCATTATCTGCCTCCTCATTTTCATCAGACACAGTAAAAGTTGTAAAGTGGGAATGTAATAGTTTATTCTGTTTGGGTACTTTAAAATCCAGTTCAGGCAAATGTCTGTCTACCCCAAGGTTTCTCGTAGAAGATTTCAATCAATGTTGAGAAGAGCTCCCTTTGTTCTCTCTATTCTTGTCTATTCCTTTAAAGTCCTGTGGTAAAGTGTTAAATCCATTGAGCTTCAGTGTCTAAAAGTGCCAAGGTATATATTCCATTTACTAAATTTGGATGATTTTGGTCTCCTTGGATTACTTCACATTATCCCAGATGTTGCCTGTTAAATTCAGGGATGCAGTAACCCATGTTGCCATTTAACAGAAATCAGAAATATGGGATGTTTTTAAACTGTTTTTGTTTTTTTTAAGAAACTTTGATTAAATTGCAAGCTTTTAGCAAACTCAGATTGCTAACAATTTTAGCTACCCCCAAATTAGAGCTCATCTGTAAATCATTAGGGTAAATTTTGTAGCAAAACCAGAAGTTTTTGAAATACCTTCTCCTTTGGCAGAAACCACTCTGCTTCTAAATAAATTTAGGTGATATTGCCATCTAGTTATTTGTGGCTGAACTGTAGATGGGAACAACGGGGAAAGCTCATATTAGATTGGTGAATTAGAAAGAAATGGTGCATCACAATGCCACAGGAAAAAACTGACTTGAAATTAAGCTAGTCTGAGTTCAGAATCCTCTCTAAGGCCTGAGAGCCAGCACAGCTCAGTCTCCTCATTTCTCCATGACATCTACAAGCTTTCACATAACAAAATAATTTGGAAATATAATTTAGTAGATCTGTGCACAAAGAATATACCGCTGGTGTGACAGTTAAACTAGATTGTCAATTGACTGACTTGCAAGCACACTTTAGTAAATTAGTAAAGCACACTTTGGGCTGGATCTGGTTAGGTCATGCAGGCATGGTCTTGGTGGCTCTATCTGGTCCTTGGCCCCTTCCACTCTGGTGCTGTTCCTTCCTTTGCTTCCATGATGAGAGCATCTTTGCTTCACCACACCTTTCCGCTATGACATTTTTGTTTTGGATGACCATGGACTAAACCCACTGAAATTGTGAGCGAAAATAAACTCTTCCTCCTTTAAGTTGTGTTTGTTGTACATTTGGTCCCAGGAAAAAATGTAATCAATATATTATATAAAATATTTTTCAAAGCTTTACTCCAAAATGAATAAATGTGATACAAAGATTAATAGAAGAAATGATGTTCTTTCCTTCTCTATAGTATACACATCCATTGTTCACACACACACACACACACACACACACACACACACATGTAGGCACACACTTGCACAGGTTGAAGTCTTATACCCTTCCTAGGATAAACTATGAATTGGTAACAACTCCAGGGCCAGGGATAGGAAGGATTGCTTTCACCCACTGATAACTATGTGGGATGGTAGAAAACCTAAGCTTGTGGACACAAAGTGTTGGCTTGAATACTAATTAACTGGCCAAGTCACCCAATCTTTCTGGTCCTCAGTCTTCCTCTTTGGAACCTAAGGCAAAACTCATCTCACAAGGTCATTGTAAAGATGTAACACGATGTTAATCCAAGGAGTACCTCATCCCAGCAGCAACCAAACTTCCCCACCCCAGGAGGGCCTCTGGCTACACCTGTCTCTCACCTGTACTGCAGAGGCACAGGCGTCTTAAAAACCATTGCCCTGAGCTAAAGCAGAAGTGAATAATAGTAAGAGGCCTTACTCCTAAGTCCCCATCCCAAAGGGTAAAGTTACTATATTTATTAATTTATTCATTATGAACATATTTTGGATTAGTCTTCAATTTCATAGGGTTAAAGGTGATAGATTAATAACTACCACAAATTGCCATTTTCTAAGCTGTGTTTTATTGTTGCTGACTGTATCACTTGGGCTAGTCTTATGATTGATCTAGTCAGTTATCTCTCCCAGTATAATGAAACTGAGATTGCCCCATAGTTATTAGAGACTCAAATCCTAAAGATCAGCTATATCTGGAAGATACCTTTGAGAAGTAATCATTCCTTAAGGGTTCTAAATACAAGCAACAAAGATATCTACAATAAGTAATACTGAAGTAGCAACCCAGGAATTAAACCAAGAACTATACCAACAACAATAATAGAAATGAAAAGACATTTAAACAAGACAGTCTTCCAGCTTACCAAAGGCAAACTCTGGGGAAATGAGATGGAAAAGTCTGATAATCAATCACCTGGACAATCTGAACTGATAGCACAGGAAGTTAAAAAACATAGCTGAATAAGGCTCTAGAAATATTCAAAACAGAAATAATTTCCCATTTAAAAGATACAATTATAAACTCTAAATAGAAACAGATAAAAAAAATAGATGAGTACAGGACCATGATGAAAGGCATGAATGCTCAGCTTAGGAAAGAAATGGAATCCATGAAACAAATTCAAACTTATATCCAGAAGATTAAAAACTCTATTAAAAGTATACATAGCAGATTAACCCAATCTGAAGTCAGAATATCAGATATAACAGACAGGATGGTGGTCGGTGACCATGAAAAGAGCGATCTCTTAAAAATAGGGACCATGAGAAATCTATCCATCAGCTCCTAGATGACACAAAGAAGAATAATAAAAGATTTATAGGAGTCCAAGAAAAAGCAGTACAAAGAACAAATGACATTTAAAAAAAAACTGTTCACAGAAATAAAAGCAGAAAACTTCCCAAACAGAGCAAAACAACTTGACATATAGATAAGCGAGCCATGTAGGACTCCAACTAGTTATGACAAAAAAAATCCACAACTAGACATATAATAACCAAGATCCCAGAAACCTAACAGATGTACAAAGCACTACAAGCAGTTAGAGAAAAGAAACAAATTCATGCAAAGAAAAGCCCATCATAATCACAGCAGACTTCTCAACACAAACCCTCCAGTCAAGATAAGCCTAGAGTGAGGTATTTCAAGCTTTAAAAGAAAACACCCTCCAGTCTTACTTAGGCAGATGTATCCTGCAAAACTATCTTTCAAAATTGATGGGGAAATAGAATACTTTCATGACACAGAACACCTGAGAAACTTCATCAATACCCAACCAGCAATCCAAAACATTGTTTAAAATACCCTAGAAAAAGACAATGAAGGTCACAATTCCATGAGCCCCAAAAGAGTAAATCCAATAGGCCAGAATAAAGGGAGAGGGAGAAAAATAAAAAAGAACCAACTGGAAAATAACATGACAATGATAAATCAATACATATTCAGTTATAACCATCAATGTCAATGGTCTCAATTCACCAATAAAAAGAAATAGACTGGCAAAATGGATAAAGAAGCAAAATCCAACAATATGCTGTTACAAAACTCAATAGCACAGGAACTAGCACAAAGAATCAACAACTGGAATCTCATCTTTTTAAAAAGTTTCTGCACTGCCAGAGAAATCACAAGCAGAGCTAGGAGACAATCCACAATGTGGGGAAAAATTTTTACCAGCTGTTCCTCAGACAAAGGTCTAGTATCTAGAATATACAAAGAATTTTAAAAAATCAGAACACCCAAATATAAAGACCCAATTCAAAAATGGGCATCAGAAATGAACAGACATTTCTCAGAAAAAAAGTAAAAGCAGCACATAAATATATGAAAAAATGTTCAACATCACTGTTCATTCGAGAGAGATGCAGATAAAAAAAAACACTGAGATTTCACCTCACCCCAGAAAGAATGGCTGCCATGAGGAAATCAACCAATAACAAATGCTGGTGGGGCTGTGGGAAGAAAGGAACCCTTCTCCATTGTTGGTGGGAGTGCAGACTGGTGCAACCACTGTGGAAATCAATGTGGAAATACCTCAAACAACTACAAATAGACGTCCCATTTGACCAAACTATTCCTCTGCTGAGCATTTTCCCAAAAGAATTAAAAGAATCATATCACAATGATGTATGTTCACCCATCTTTATAGCAGCACAGTTTGTAATGGCTAAAATTTCAAGACAGCCCAAAATTGCCCATCAACTGGAGACTGGATAAAGAAGATGATGTGGGTTTTGTTTGTTTGTTTGTTTGTTTGTTTTATAAAATGGAGTACTATTTGGCCATAAACAATGAGAAATTAGAGATATTTATAGCTAAGTGGGTGCACATTGAGGCCACACTAAAGTGACATTAATAAGTCACATGTGTAAATACTGAATAGTTTCTCTGGTTTGAAAAATCAAAAGTATAAATAAGGATCAAGATGTATAATTGATATTGCATAATAGGAAGAAAAGGTCTAAAAGAATAGATAAAGTTGTAGGGCTAGGGGAAAGGTAAGAAGGGAAAATAAAAATATGTAGAAAGGAAAAACATGGAAACAATGTCACTGTAAACAGGGAAGGGTGGAGGGAGTGAAGGGAGGGCTGGGGAATGCGGAAAAATAAGAACCAAGATGTCTTATAAAGGTACAAGACCCAAATGACGAATGTAACTGTACTGTACACCTAAAATGTACCAATAAACTTAATAAAGACTTAAAAAAGAAAGAAAAATTAGAACTTATAACCAAAAGAAACCCAGCAGTCCCTGCAAATGTGACACATACCACAGGAGGCACAGTTAACTTCCAAAGAGGAGAGAAGTTCAGAGAAGTCCAAGCATCAAGTTCCAGTTTTTGTGAGAAGCTCACTCTATAATGCAAGGCAACTGCCACAACCTAGTGATGTATCTTTTCCTTATTTCAAAACAAAGGTTTCCTTTGTGCCAGAGAGCACACTTGATATTCCAATAAACTGTGAGCTACATTCTGTGGAAATTAAAGGAATTCATTCTCCTTTTTTCCATAAAATTCTGCACTAGATTCTGAGGATACAAGAATTTGTCATCTTTAAGCTAAAAATTGAATTATAATTACACCACAGAGTCTCCCAACTCCAGAAGTTCAAGTCTAACAAAGAATTTGCACCCATGCTTTTTTACTTATAGCACTGTGTTGATTATTGTGTGGGCAAAATGCGGATGTACCTAAATGTTGATGACAGCCACTGGTGGATAGCCTTCTGCCTCCATTCCTGTGCTCCTGTATCCTTCTGTAATTGAAGGAACAACATCATGTTTTTACTGTCCCTGTATTTTGGTCACTGAGTTCTTTAGGTGAGCAGAATTTCAGCCCTTGTCAATTCTGCTAATGACCTTGTACTTACCTCCTCTTACTCACCTTTTGATTTCTGTTGTTGCTGTTGCTGTTGTTTTAAAAACATTTACAGATGATTCATTTCTCTGTATTTTCCCTTGTAGCAAGAGTCATGGCACCCAGAATGCACACTCTGACTCATTTTGGGAGGATGTGGAACACTCCTTAGAGTATTTATAATTTTGTACACTTTAATCACCTTTAGGAAACTCATTTTCTAGGTGGAATGTCTTTTCCAGGATGGTTTTAATCTATAGTCTGTCATGTCACTGTATCTCACCTAAAACTGTAAGGTATGGGGAGGAGCGGGAGGGGGGGAATAGAAGAAAACTGTGAAAATCAAAGGAAAAAATTTTGTGACCTAGATTTCAACTCAACAGATCTGGAAAAAAATTTTCTCCCCTAAATGAATCAAGATTAATGAGGATTGCATATATTTAAGTTGCAGTTTCATTCCTAATCATTCCTTCTTTAAGTATCTGTGACATACTGGGTTAAAAAGTGACTGAATTTGATGTATCATCTGCTATACTGAAAGGTTCATGTGGCTTCAGGGTTGGTGCCTGGTGTGTTCTGTCTGGTCTACATCTGCCCATGATTTTAATAATGCACTTCATTCTGAGTCTGGGTGATGTGTGTTCATGAGGACTCCTTTTGTTTAGAAGGACTTTCTGTGGTCCAAGTCACAGGTTTTTTCTTTACCTGTGCCCTTCAGCTCCACAAAGGGGGAGTTATATTTTTATTTATATGAATCTTCTCATCATTTTTCCCTGTATAGGAAGGGGGGACAAATTATTTTACTTTAAATATTCCACTTCCCACTGTATTAATGTTATGGGGCTGATGTCCTTAAGATCATTTCTCAGAAGTGTATATTTCCCTTAAAATCATCTGGAATCCAATTGCCTTGGGCTATTAATCCTATTTAGATTAAAGTCATGTTTAATTATCCATTTACTTTATTTCTTACTGAAGGATTCTGGGACTCTGACTGATCTCCCAGAATCACATCCCTGGGTTACTGTTGCCTTTGTATTATTTAGAAGAGCCCATGAGATTGACAAGGACCCCTTGGAAAGAAATCATAATTTATTTGGGAAACCATATTGATTGACTCGATCTCCATGAAGGAGAATATGACTCTTGATAAGCATGAAGGGCAAAGCTTCTTCCTCAGGGCTCCAGTTTCCATCAGCCCTTTCCCCTTCTCTCCTATAATTCCACCCAGGAAGTAGTGGTACTTCCCTTGGTTCTTCCCTGAGATTTGTCTTATAGAGGGCACTCGGTAGAGTTCTTCCCTGCCTTCCTGGGTAGGTGAGTCCTTCACTACTGAGCCCTCCTTGCTGTGCACCTGAGCCACATTCTCCAGAATTGGCTTGAGCAACAAGAAAGGAAGCCTAATGAGATGTCCCACCTGAGCCAGCCTACCCATAAAATCCTGCCCAAATCTAAAGCATGAGAATGTAGTTTGGCACCTGGTGGGATCTTTCTCCTCTTTGTTCCTCCAATCAGCAACCCTCCAGGCTGTATCCAAAAGACTCATCTCCAATCATCTGAGATTATGAATGGCCTCAAATTGTATAGTACTTCTCTGTATACTTGAAGAATGAGTATAGGTCACTTAAAATAAATACTGTGTTGTTGGCATAAAATAACATTTCACAAATTCAAAATAATGAAATAATATTAAGAACGTGTATTGAAACTTGAGTGGGGCAGTGTATGAGGGAGTTCCTAGTATCTGATGAGAAGAAGGCATAGATGCTGCTTATGCCCCAGAAGGCATAAGGCAGTTCTTACAACAAAGGATTCTTTGTTGGCCTAAAATTGAGAGACTCTGATCTAATCTCATTTCATACAACATCATGGTCATACTTCCCAACTGGAAAAATCTGCTATTCTGGTCAACACAAGTACACAATGAGATATGTAATATTTAGGTATTAAGCATTTAAAAACTATAAAAGAAGATACTTGTGAGATCAGATCCTGATTTGAACTGTATTGTTAACCTCTAAATATACACTGTCAGTACAGTTTATATATATAAACAGTACATATGCATATATATGTATACATACTACACAAAATTCCAATACCTTCTCTATTGTGTGACCATCTGAGTAGCTGCTTGGTGTAAGTCACCACCCACCATTTGTTTCAAATGATCTGATTTCAGATCTTGGGCTGGTGCCATAACTCAGTGGTAAATGCATTTCCTATCATATGGCAGGCCCTGGGTGCAACCACCGGCACCATAAGAAAAAGACGTTATCTTGACATTTCCATCTTATTGTGTGAATTACCTAAAAACAGACTTGAAATAATTTCTCTCTCCATTTACTTAAATGAGTCATGATTTTAATAATGCACTTCATTCTGAGTCTGGGTCATGTGTGTTCATGAAGAACCCTCACCTCTTCAATCCTTTTCTTCACTTTTTCTTCCTCCATTTTTATTCATTTTCCCATTACATTGAGACTAACCAATGGGAAGGTATTGGCATTTATTGCAAAATAAATAAATTTAAATAAATACAATTTCCTCTCAGTACAGTATTGCTTAGATCTAAAATGATCCAGCTCTAAGAACCACCCTGCCTACCTCAGAGTGTCCTTGAAAATCAAAATTTTTAAAAAACATAACTAAATTTCTATGAACTTTTTAAATCCCCAAGTATAAAGTGTATAAAAATTAAAATGTCATGCTTGTCACAGGGAGACCCTATGATATCTCAAGAGATTGCCATTTTCCAGGGCTCACGCCTTAGATAACTCTGTCTCTTTGAGAATAAGCTGGATGTATTGAATCACATCTAACAAGTAGAATTTGACAGAAGGGATGAGAAGGCACTTTTAAGATTGGGTTTTGTAGAAAGCTCTGGGCTCTGTTTTGGGTGCTGTCATCTGTCTCCTCCATTCATTTGTTCTGGGAAGGACAGTGGCTATGTTGTGGAACATCAGAAGCTGAGCTCTGCCAGCCACTGTGGGAGTAAGGTGAAAAGTGGATCTTCCATCACTCAGACTTTCCAGTGACTGCAGCCCCAGCCAACACCTTTGCCTGGAACTGGAACCACCCTCTTTCCAACCCACTACAAGATCATAAATGCTTATTGCTTCCAGACATGGAGTCGTTTGCTTCTGTGTGAGCTCAGAGTCTCATCACCTCTCCTCAGCATAATAATGATCACTTTCATCACAAGGGGGGTTGGTGCATGCATATAGCACATCTTAATTCTTTCTACACCCCTTTATCATCTTTCATTTTTTCCTCCATCCTTAGATCCCCTTATCATTTGTCAAAGATCTATCTCTTTGTTTCCTATTGTCTATCTTTTGTTTTTCTCTTTAAATTATGTATATTTGGGGTTTCTCACATAGAAGAAATCATGCAATATTGAAGCCTGTGTGTCTGATTTACTTCATGTAACAGGACAGTCTCAAGATACAACCATTTTCCTAATAATAATTCAAATATATCCTTTGATGGCAGAGTAATACTCCATTGTGTGTAAATAGTACATTTCCTTTATCTATTCATCAGTTAATGGACATACAGGTCATAAGATTTTGGTATTATGGGTTATACTGCTACAAGTACTTGTATGCATGTAATACCATGCCTCTAACTCTTTTGGAAACATATATAGAAGGGACTAGATGGGTGAAATGGAATTTTAAATTTTAGTTGGTTGGGGATCTCTATATTGATCTCCATGGTAGTTACACCAGTTTATATTTTTGGCTGATTCTCTCCTCCTTGGCTTTGTTGCCTCCTATTTTTGTTTTCAGACCAGAGCTGACCTCCAGGCCACATTATGCTCTCCAGTCTGGAGTAGGACAGGAAAGTGTTTCAGGGTCTCACCAACTCCATGAAAGTGACAAGTCCTTGGGAAGGACACATCTCTGTGCAGTTGTAAAGGACTTGAAATCTCAGAAGTTCATCCAGACCGTCTACTGTCAGTCATGATCTGAAAGCTTTATTGCACATGACAAGAAGTGCAAAGTAGAAAATGGGGGAGAGGATAACTAAATTTTTTCATATTCACATATTAAAGTACCTCTTTGAAAGTGAATTCCTACATGCTATGATTTGGATAAATCTCCCCAAAGGCCCAAGTATGAATGTCTTGGGCCCCAGCAGGTGGCAGCCTTGGGAGAGGATGGGACTTGTAAGAGGTAGGGCCTCATGTAAGAAGCCTCCTGGTCATATGGTCATGTTCCCTGGAAGATGACACTGAAATCCCAGATGTCTGCTTTCTCACCTGTTCTGACCCTAAGTTGAGCATGCTTCATCTACCACAATCTCCCTCATGGTGTGCTGGCTAGTCAGAGACCTGGAAGCAACAGGACCAATTCACCGTGAGTGCAAATCTACAAAGCTGTAATCCCAAATAAACCTTATCTCTGTGTAAGTCAGATGCCTGTTTACTGCAGGCATCTATTACAGTAACAGAAAACTGATGGACACTCAGTGTAACCTAGTGAACTCTATTAATTTAAGAAAAGTATATAAAGAACAGATGAGTACCTTCTATTTTCTACTTTTACTATATTTTGTAACAATCTTATTTATCTATGTATTTAGCTAAGTATTTTCCATTGTGTAAGTTATATTTTACTTTGTGAAATGGGAAGAAAGAGGCTAAAGGTATAGGGAAGGTGGGATGGATAGGGGAGGGAAATAAGGGAAAAGAAAAAAATGTGAGATAAAGAAAAGATGGAAATAAAGTGCTTGTAGTGGGCCTTGATCCACCACTTGAAGGAGAGCCTTCTCCCACCCCAGCCGCCATCGCTCCAGTGCCAGGAAGGCACCCTGCAGGCACCTCTGAACCTCCATAACTTCCCTTACCCCCACACACACTCTCAGGCCTCCTGACTGGACTGTGCCAGTCTTTGGACCCACTCCGCAGAGGCAGAGGTGGTTATCAAGGGTATTTTTCTGAGTTGCCAACTTTGAATATCTTTAAAGAAAGTGCATAGGAGACCTATAGCAGAAAACAGTGTGCAGTTCAACCATTCAGAAGGTTGGGGAACTCAATCTGGGCCTTGCAGCCTGAGGTCAGTCTGCATCATGGGGTTCAGCCATCAGCTAACTGAGATCAGGGGTCTTGCATCCTCACTTTGTCTGAGCCATTAAATGGTAAATACACTATATTGAAATTTTGGTCACTGCAGACACGTTCTGGGCTGCTTCTTGATTTCAATTTAATTCAAATGATTTAAGGGTGATAGACTAGTGACTACCACAAGTGGTCAGCTTCCAAGTTGTCCTTGATCTTAATGTGTTGCTGATTGTATCAATTGGGGTAAAGCATTGCGGTTCATTTGATGAGCTGTTTTCTCTGATGTTATGAAGATGAGAATGTCTGTGGGTCGTTAGAGACACAGAAGCTAGCGTGCAACTATATCAGGAAGATGTGGGTGATAACCCAGAGATTAAACCAAGGACAGTCTGACAACAAAAATAAAAATGAGAAAACACTTAAGCAAGACACAAAGACAGACTTCCAGTTCACCAATGGCAAACAGTAGGGTAAATGAGGGTGAAAAGGCCGATAGTGAACCACCAGGACACCCTGAACTCAAAGCACAGGAAGTAACAAAACAGATCAATCAGGCTCTTGAAAATTTCAAAACAGAAATAATTTCCCAGATAACCATAGAGATAGTGAGCAAAATGGAAGTCGTGATTCGAGACTCTAGAGCAGAAACTGACAAAAAAATAGATGAGCTCAGGACCATGATAGAAGCCATGAAGGCCCAGCATAAGAAAGAAATGGAAAAAATAAACGCCCAACATGGGAAAGAAATAGAATCCATAAAACAGATTCAAACAGATATCCAGGAGATGAAACACTCCATTGAAAGTGTACACAACAGAATAAAAGAATTTGAAGATAGACTCTCAGATATAGAAGATAAGATTGCAGTCAGTGACCAGGAAAAGAGAGGTCTCTTAAAAACAGTTAGGGATCATGAGAAATCGATCCAACAACTCCTAGATGATGCAAAGAAGAAAAACATAAGAATGATAGGAATCCAAGAAGTAGCAGGAGAAAATAAAAATGACTTAAAAAAGCTGTTCGCAGAATTAATGACATAAAACTTCCCAAACAGAGGGGAAGAATTTGACATTCAGATAACTGAGGCATATAGGACCCCAACTAGCCACAATCAAAAAAAAATCTACACCTAGACATATAATAATCAAGATCCCAGAAACCCAACAGAAGAACAAAATACTACAAACAGTAAAAGAAAAGAAACAAATCACATGCAAAGGAAAGCCCACCAGAATCACAGCAGACTTATCAGCACAAACCCTTGGGCAAGGAGAGCCTGGAATGAGATATTTCAAGTACTAAAAGAGAACAACCTCCAACCTAGACTGGTGTATCCTGCAAAATTCTCTTTCAAAATGGATGAGGAAATAAGACACTTCCATGACAAAGAGAACCTGAGAAACTACACAAATATCAAATCAGCACTAAAAGCAATTCTAAACAAGATCCTAGAAAAAAACAATGAAGGCAACAACACCATGAGGCCCAACAGAGCAAATCAAATAGGCAAGGTAAGAAACTAAAAGGAGAAGGTGAAAAAGTAAAAAGAGTCAAAAAAAGGCCAATAACATGTCAATAATAAGTCAGTACATATCAGTTATAACCATCAATGTCAATGGCCTCAACTCACCAATCAAGAGAAATAGACTGGCAAAATGTAATAAGAAGCAAAATCCAACAATATGTTGTATACAAGAAACACACCTAGGGCAAAAAGAAGCCCATAGACTGAAAGTGAAAGGATAGAAAACAATTCTACATGTGACAGGACCCCAGAAAAAAACAGGGGTAGCAATCTTATTTGCAGACAAAGCAAATTTCAAACCAAAACTGATTCTAGTATTATTGATGCAGTACGGTACTGTATCATACCTCTGTGAATGTAAAATATCTTGTACCTGCTCTATGATACATAGTAGTGACCATGCTTTATCAGAGCTATATTTAATGATACTATTCTAGAATGTTCTCTTTCCAGATGATGATTAAGATGCTAATAAAAAATAATGGTGCCAGGTACCACAACAGCAACAGAACTTTGCTGTTTTCTGGATATTATTCTTTTCTTTGTTTGTTTGTTTAATGGAATGTGCTGAATGTCTATAATTTTGTTCAGATGACTGCATAACATATTGCTATTATTAGTCTTTTATATAAATATAAAAGCTGTCAACTTTGGAAAAAATTATCCCAATTTACTGTATTGAGTTGGCACTGTACAGATATGGACAGTCATATTGGTCTAGAAATGTTATTTTTTTTATTTTTATTTTTTGTTTTTATTTTTCCATTTGTACAGAGGTAACGCATTGTACTAAATATGTAAGGTCATATCTACATGGGTTTGATTACAGAAACTAATATTCTCTAAATAATGAAAAAAAGAATAAGATAAGACTACGAGAGCAAGAAGCAATTTAAATATGATAAGGGACCATTTTCATCTTCAGAATTAAGGATTATTTTAATATTACATCATTGCCTTTTCTCTTTTACTTTCCTTTTTAGTTTTATATTAGGATTCCCTATTTTTAATGTTCATACAGAGATTTCTTTAACTGAAATACCAAATAGTTTCTCTGGTGTGAAAAAGCTATATTAGTACACGGGATCCTAATGAGATAATTAATAATGTTCAATAGAAAGTAAAGGGCTAAAGGTGTAGGGAAAGTGGGAAGGGTGGGGGAAAGGTAATAAGGGAGAGAAAAAAATGAGAAAATGAAAAAATGAAAATAAAGTGTTTGTAAATGGGGAAGGGAGGAGGGGGTGAAGGGAGGGCAGGGACAAGGGGAAAAAATAAGAATCAAGACCTATTATGTAAAGGTACAGCATCCCAATGATGAATGTAACTGTATTGTGTACCTAGATTGTACCAATAAACTCAATAAAAAATAAATGAAGTGCTGGTAGTTGGGGAGGAGAGGAGGGGCTGAAGGGAGGGCAGGGACAAGGGGAAAAAATGAGAACCAAGACCTGTCATGTAGAGGTACAAGATTCCAGCAATGAATGTAACTGTACTATATCCCTAAAATGTACCAATAAACTCAATTAAAGTTGAAAAAAAGAATTAAAATGAAACATGGTTTCATTTGTATAGCAACCCCTACTTAAATAAATGCTTTAAAAATTTTTTAAAAGTTATATTTTACTGTTTGACTCTTCTTTGTGTGTTTTCAGCATATTCCAAGGGATAAGGGAATGTTTCCCCATGCATTTATTTGAATATTACTAATAATTCTGATGAGACTATTTATTCCAGCTGCTAAAATCAATGCATGGCTTAGTCTTTATTTTACACATATTTATGCCTTGTGTCTTTGGAAATGCAGTCAATTCTCAATCATCTGTATAACCTTAGTAGATTATAGGAGGGATTTAAAACTTCCTGTGGTTTCTGCCTTGGCTAGGATGTTCCCAAAATGCTCCCTTTTTAACCTGATGTTGGAGCGCCTCTGACTACACCATCATTTTAGTATTAGCCACAGTAAATTTTAGAAGAAATAAAAACATGGTAGAAATGTACAAACTCCTTGGAAATATTTAATATATGTCCAGGAGGAAAAGGTATAGAGATACCCTTGTCCTGCCTTCTCTGAGAGGTTGTCGTTTATTAATTTGACTAACTGAGCTTCCCCTTCATATGTATTTTTGGTCTTTTCCAAGTCTGGGCTAAAGATCATGAATAATGGAGAAGACTGTCATGTAATTTGTATTTGTAGCACTTTTGCACCAAATTTATAACCAAGACCAAGAGATGGACACAATAGGGACTTGAACCTAAGTGAAAAGCAAACAGATCTAAGGACCCAGAAGATGAGATGTGGTGGAGAGATTGTTGTTTGTTTTTAGGGATCCTACACTAACCTCTTTGACTTGTGTCCCTGGAAAGCTGATCATATCTTAATATTAAACAGACAGGGTAAGGTACTGGGTCTCCTGACCGGAACAGAAGGTGGCTCACTGAAACTTCTGAAGTTGTCCACAATGAAGCACCTTTGATGAAAAAGATGCTTTTCCTGCCTTTCCGCTGTGAGTATTAAGATAGCACACTTGGTGCAGAACCTTTGTCCTTCAGGGATAAATGGCATCCGTTCAGCTTTCCCAAATGCAGGAGGGGGATAATTAAAACCAACCATCTCATCTCAGAGATGTGTGAAAATTAATAAAATGATTTCTGTAAAAGTCCCTGAGCTTTTGGAAAGAAGAATACAACACACAAAGTATTGCTATGTGGTTTAATTTGTAGTTATGTGAGGTAGCTTATAATCACT